ACACTCAAAGGTTCAGATGACTTACCAGAATACGGAAATAGATAAATTCGAGTCAAATCCCCTTGGATTCGACGAAGCTTTGCCTGACATCTTCACCGTAAAAACTGAAAAAATTATGCAGAGGTTCCATACAGTTAAAACCTAGAAGTTTCTCACTCAAATTCGACATATAAGGGTTTCAAGACATTACCTTAGATGAGAAATTCCCTAGTTTGGGACGGGTTTGCTTCAGAACTCGTCGGAGTTCCGCCGGATGGGACTGCTAGATGTTAAGGTTGAAGTACAAAAAATTATAGGGGTTTTAGACCTTAGATTTCAAGTCGACTCGAACATTCAGGGCTTGAGGATGATACCTGAAACATTATGGGGGAAATCTCAAGCCAAAGCAGGGACTAGGAGGCTGAGCTTCTCCCTAGATTCGGCGAGAACTATGAAGCTCTTTGTTCAGCTCCACTCCGTCCTCAAATTGGACATGCAGCACCACCATTCGATTTCCTAAGCCATATATATGCTTAATTTGAGGGTTTAGAGGTACGATTTAAACGGAGGTTTAGGATGGTGATGGTCTGTGGCATTCGGTGCAGAGAATAGAGGTGAGGGAGAAAAAGAGAGAGAGAGAGAGAGAGAGAAAGAAAGAAAGTTACGGGAGAGGTGAGGGAGAGGAGAGAGGGAATTATGTGTGTGTGTGTGTTAGAAATTAGAAAAAGAGGGAAAAACCAGGGACACAAAAACAAGGTGGGCCCCATGGGCACACCTATTAAGGCCTTAAAAACATTTTTTTTTAAAAATAAAAACTCAAAATTACCTTTATAATTGGGGGTGGGGTTTTACAATCTACCCCCCTTAAAGAAATTTCGTCCCCAGAATTGGAAATAATTGGCTACATTGTAAAACTCGAAAATAGGAAGAAGAATTTATGTATAAAGAGAAATCAAGTCAAAGTGGGTGCATCAACGAGAATACACCACACCGTCGCGAGCGGTTTGCCAAATCCTCTATCATGCCTCCAAGCTCTTACTTTCTTTCCCCATCAATGGAAAAGTAGAAACATATTTTAATGAAATATAAGTCGAAAACACAAAATAGCTTAAGGCCAAAAGTAAAGACGTAAAATACGATAACATCAAAATAGATAGGTAAAAACATATAGGTCGAAAACTCGTGCAAAACTTAAAACTGAAAACGGAAATACTTCCCCCAAAACATTTGTAACGTCAAAATAAATAACTAGTAAAGGAAGTTAAAATATTTATACTAAAAATCCAAAATTGGAAATGAAAGTGGGTCTTGCCCAAGAATTCGAAACGTCACGTTCTGAGAATAGATGTGTCTTTGGGGTAAGCCCCAACAATAATAAATCTGTAACCACTGCTGAAGATAGGTCTTCCTGCCCACTTGCTTAACGAACCCAACAAATAAGCTATCGATATCACAGTCTGCAACCCACAATATCGACCACACATTTGTTGTCTCGATAAGCAAGTAGTAATTTCCTAAGGATGCACAATTCCACACGTCGTAAATTTGATCCTCCAAATATCAGTCCACAATACTCCTCTGTCAATCAATGTTGCCCGTAGGAAACTCTCGTACCATGTCGTAGAAAGTGCCATACACCAAACCGATTAAAACAGAAACTGTCGTCGTAAAACTCTATCCAGCACCAAACATCATATTCTCCTCAGTTCTTCCAAATGTGACCAACTACTCCAGAGTTTCACCAATAAAGAACCCATTTGAAAACTGTACCTTGAGATTCAAGAGAAGTGACTACCATGTTAGTAGCATACCCAAAAGCTCGAGCCAAGCAAGCAGAAAACAACGAGTCACTTTCCCAACAAGCAGTATCTCTTGGGAGCTATTGTAGTGCTCAATCCACCTCCCCATTTTTGCTAATTTGCATATTTCTAGTCAACCAAGGTCAAAGTTAGTGGAAATGACTCACAAATGATCATCTTAACAACCAAAAAGAGCACACAATTTTCGAGAGAAGTGTAAAGATTATCCAATTATCGCCTCGACCATGCTGTAGTGCCATCCTAGAATGCACCAAATAGATATGCTAGAAGTGTTTCGACATCCGCCTACTCATAACAATAAGGTTCGGAAGTGAAGCAGTGAAAAGATGCTTTGAGACAAACATATAACGTTGGAAAAGAACCGTTGTGATGCCTATGAATTATAGTAAGATGGTGATACAATCCGCCGACCTTCTGTACTAAAACCTTCAACCAACTCTTATTAAAAGACCGCTCAAACCTCACGCTCACTTGTTCGCGAATCGAAGGATCCTGGTGCAAAGTAGTGGAAAGCTGCGTTGAGGCGAACACATCACATCATCAAAAATGTCTACCAGAGTACGATATGATGGTTATGAATTGTAGCAAGATAATGAGTGGTGACCATTCAATTCAGCGTAAAGATAGTGATGCAATCTGCTAATCATCTGCACCACAATCTTGACCAATCTCTTACCAAAAGACGACTCAAACTTCACACCCACAAGGAACTCTTTCTAGTAAGTCTGGTAAGTTTGTGAAAAGGTTATGCTCCTATCGTTCTTGTTCGAATCGACACGAACTGGGCTGCACACTTTCGCCGAAATGATCGATCGTGAATTTCTCACTGATTGAGCGAGAAACCATGTCGAGAATGCTGAAAGAACACTCAAGAATTTGAGGGTTAAAACAAGTTCATTACAATCTGTTCATCCTCGGTGTATTGTTCTAGCATGATCCAGTTTACATTGAGAAACAAACAAGCGAATAAAGGTAAAGATGCAGAAATAAAAGTCACTGTTTCTGATTATTCGGTTAAACATCATCGTAAGGTTGACTGGTTTCTTAGCCAAAAGAAAATAGGTCTAAGCTCAAGTATAGTTAAAAACTGTTAATAAGATTTGACGAGGTCAAAGACATTTCGCAATTCACAATACTTTGTACGAGTTGTTTCAAAGTTCAAAAATTAAACATAGAACCTCTGAATCAATAGAATGACGAAGAAGAAAGATACAAAGCAGCCTGCGTATGCATGCAGTGACACGGTTGGCTATCTTAAAGTGATGCTCTTGAGCAAACCAAGGCTCAATGAGTCTAGAGAAGTTTAGAGCAAAGCTCGATCTTCATAGAATGATGAATATGATGGAGTCTCAAGTCATTACACTAAAAATTTACAAGGTTGAACAGTTTGTGGACAAGAGCACTGGTCAGCTAGGCTACAAGCAAGAGACTAAGTTCACCTATACCAACAAGTACGAGAACTAGAAGCTAGGGTTTACCACCAAGTACCAAACGCAGGTGAAGTTCAAGGAGTTTGTTTATCCAAACAAGACTGGATCTTCATCATCCCAGTCCAACTACAACAACAAGAAAAATTACAACTCCATTTTGGGAAACTGATAAGAATAGAGTCTGCTACCGAGGAGTTTCCTAAGAAAAACAATTAATGTAAATGAAGTCAACACTTGAAGAATATGGTGTAAAGCTGACAGTCAGAGGTTAGTGAACTTGACTTCATCGTTGGAATAAGCAAGAAGGTTATCGATAGAATAATCACCGAAGATTCATTCTAAAGATTCACATGAATATCCTTAGTGGAAACGAGTCCGAGAACATTGATTTGCTCCCACCAACTACCACCTACTAACAGTCGTCACCAATAGCACTTAATCGCTTCTTTAGCACGCACTTCGAATGTTTCGAGCAATTTCCAAGAGATATGACTCTGCCCGCCATTCCCAAAGAATGCACGCCGCAGAGTATCGTCCTATGTTGAAAGTCGTCCAACAAATCAAACACGTCACCGATGAGGCACAATCCCAACACAAATTATCTTTTTGCTTTTTTTGTTTGGAATTTTGTGTTTGGATCTGGTTATGAAAATGGAAAGACTGTAGAATTTTTTGCCTTTTTTGTTTCGATTTTTGCAGGATTTATGTTCGTAAATGGTAGATGAAAGGGGAGAAGCAAGGGCAGAGTTGCTAGAGGGGATCTCGGTTTAGATTCCTTCCCTCTGCTTCCTAATTTTAGCATGGGACCAGATAACTCACATTTTACGACTAATCATCTAAAACAAAGAGCAAGCTAGGAATTTCAAATGCGTAATTTATAAGTGAATGACAAGGGACCGACATACCTCCGCTTCGACTTGAATTACTAGTTCCATTACATATGGATGCATAGGGACAGACGTACCTCCGCTTCGACTTGAATTACTAGTTCCATTACATATGGATGCATAGGCTCGATCTGCGCAAAAGCAACTGAATCCAGAATTAATAGTAGTGTTAAGCCCACACCGTCCGCCTGAGTCCAGATATTTGTTGCATTCATCGTTGTCAATCTCCAATTGCAGTGAGAAACCCCATTCCACCGCATCGGTGACAATTGTTTGACTGGGATCAGTGGCGGCCTCTATAGCAAGAGCAGCTTCTGTATAAACGGGAATAATAACCTCATGTGTACAGCTCACAGAAGATGCCTGACCAACTGTCACCGGACGTGTCAAATAGTAAACAAAGCTCACTGTATTGCTTATGTTGCGGGACTGCGTACTAGGAAGCGTTATGGCAGTAGGGCATTGGTAGCAAAACGTCATGTTTGTATAACCAGAAACATAATCAAACAGGGAGAAGTTGAAGGTGGTGTTGACAAAAGTCCAAGGACAAATAGTATCCCAATAATCGTGCCTAGCAACCTTAACTGTCCGAGCATTTGTTGTAGCGTTCATTTGCAGAATTCTATAGCTCGCACCCGTCATGTTGAACACAGGGACGTTGTCTAGGCATTGGACCTCATATCCGGGTTGACCACAGTAACTAGCTCGGTTTACCCCCCAAAAGGGATAGTATATGCCTCCGACGCCACCACAATTGATATCGCTGCTGCAGTTTGTGAATTGTTGATCATTCTAGCATAGACTTAACTCGACGTTGATCGAAAGAAAGGAAGCGATCAAAAGAAATGGAAACAACGATTGGAGCAGAAAGAAATGCATGATGGATGTGGGGAGGAAAAGGCTCAGCAAAGAGACTGGAGCGTCAAATGAAATGGGGAACTAGTAAAAGGAATAAGAGTCAGGTCTCTTGTTTCGTTTTAATATATAATTTGTTCCAACTTCCAAATCTTGAAATGTAGGCCCTTTGAAATATTCTAAAGCCCTGTTTGGCACACTGAATAAGGCACCAGATAATATTAATAATACAGAGTACGGTTTTTGATGTCCTTTTGAATTAAATAGTTACTGGATTAAATAATTCGGGCCCAACATTTATCCACTTACTTATACCGTCCAAAACCATGGTCCAATTTAGTCGGGCTGAAGCTCTCTCCTTCCTCTCCAGACCCATTCTGGGTCTCCAGACGCTCTCTCTTCCTTTCCAGACGCACTTTTGCTCTCTCGTCTGAATCCCAAGTTCGTCATCTCGAATTCTTCTTCTTCCTGTGAATCCCAGTTCGTCTTTTCATTTTTCTTGTTCTTCCCAGGTTCCGCCCCTCCCTTTGTTTTTACCCCTTATCCTATTTTTCTTGCAATTTTCTTTCAATTGATTGAATCTAGTTATTGTTTTCTCTCTAATTATGCAATTGATTATGTAATTTTGTGTTTTAATTAGAATTTTCAAATTTTAGGGTTTGCTATTGGGGTCGAATTTGGGTTTGTTGTTAGTGTTGAACTTTAATTAGAATTTTAATGATTGGGTAGAGTGGGAGTGTGGAGGTTCACTTACACTTACCTAAACAAAACTTTGTCTCTGGCGTAGCTCCCGTTTCACTCGGCTCTCTTGCAGCCGCAACGCAACCCTACGGACAACTGGGTAAGCCAATTTCTCTTTGCTCTTGTGCTCTTTCTCTCTCCATTAACGTGCATGCCCCGAAAATTAGATCCCAATAAATTCCTATTCTTCTCAGTTTTTGCATCACTCCCTCTCAGCTTTCATCCATTTTTTAATTTTTATGTGAATTTTACTTTTTATCTGGATATATATATATGTGTGTGTGTGTGTGTGTGTGTGTGTGTAATTTCGGACTAGGGTTTTCCATGTAGATAAAAATCGGAGTAAATTTAATGATATTTGGGCTATTTTTATTTGCATGCATTATTTGATTGGGTGTTGAAGTATTGCTTTGTTATGATTTCCTTTGGGTCTGGCATGTTAATGTTTGATTGAGTGAATTCTAATGGGGAAAAGAATGAACAGAGAGAGAAGAGGGTGGTTGTTTCTTTTGTTCTACAGCAACTCAGAAGAAGGACATTGTTTTCATTGAATGCCTCTGTCACTTGCACACAACGTGCAAGAAGAGATATATTACCTTACAAAACTGAGCTGGATCAAAAACATTTAAAACAGATCTCAGCCACACATTTAGCTAATAGCTAAGATCATCACACATGGCACTCATGGCCTTTACATCTATATATCTTCTCACTTAGTATTTAACATAAGTGCATACACATATTAACATCACAGCTTATTTCTAATCAGCTATAGACTTATAATTCAACATGGCATTCTGTTGATTGGGTGTTGAAGTATTGCTTTGTTTTGGTTTCGTTTAGCAGTTGTGGTTTACTGAATAGAATTGTTGATTGGGTGTTGAAGTATTGCTCTGTTGATTGGGTGTTGAATAGAATTGTTCTGGTTTTGTCTAGCCAAGATGTTATCCTGGCTCGTTTGACTGTGTTTCTCTGCTTGTTCTTATCCTTCCTGCTACTGTTTTTTTCTTGCTGCTGGTGCAGTTTTAATCAGCTGGTGTGGTTTTCTTCTGTTGCTCCTGACTTTTAGGCTTTCTTCTGTTGCTCCTGGTGTGGTTAAGTTTTCTTCTGTCTCCCTGAGTTGTCTAGTTATCATTTCACCAAAGTTTTCAAGAAAAAGAACAAAAATAATGCACATTGTTTATTTCAGTTTGAAAAATATTAAATTTGTGGCTCATTTTGTGTGTAACTTTACACCGTGGTGAGGTTCAAACATTATTCCGCAACGGATCATATACGTCCTGGAACTTGGACAATGTAGTAATTTGAACATCAGCCACTCTTGTGCTTTTTCAGAAAAGCAAGGCACATACTTGTTGCCTTTTATTTTCTGAAGTTTATGAATCACATATACACACATCTTGGTTTGTTAATCCCCGTGTATTCAGTTAGCTAATTTGTGTTTTCCAGCATGTATATGTGTGTCAATGAATCTAGACATAATCTTCAATGTGAAATTTTTACTGTTATTTCTTACGATCTTCTGTTATTTGTGGTTGATTAGGCTCTTTCGAATGGGAAGCCTACTGTTGTCGAGTTCTATGCTGATTGGTGTGAATTATGCAAGGAATTAGCTCCAGATGTCGGTAAAGTTGAGCAGCAGTACAAGTATGATCTTCAAGTTATAACTTGTTATTGCTTATAATTGAATCTCTTTATAAACACTTAAATATAGTGTGTGCCATTTTTTGTGATTTATTTTTCTTAAATACTTGTGAATCTCAATATCTGAGAGTGCCACAGTTTCTTCTTTAAATAATAGTAGATTCTTCATTATCCATCGATTCTTGTACGCAGGGATCGTGTAAATTTTGTTATGCTGAATGTTGACAACACAAAGTGGGAACAAGAGCTTGATGAGTTTGGTGTTGAGGGTATTCCACACTTTGCATTCCTAGATAAAGCGGGAAATGAAGAGGGCAACGTAGTAGGCAGGCTTCCAGAAAAGTACCTGCTTGAGAATGTGGATGCTCTTGCCCGTGGAGAAGCCTCCATACCTCATGCTCATGTAGTGGGGCAGTTTTCAAGTGCTGAAGCCAGAAAGGTTCACCAAGTTCCTGATCCAAGAAGTCACGGATAGGTGCTCACTAATTTTGGAGAAGAACCCCTCATGTTTCTTGGATAAAGTAACCGCAATTGACATTGGAAAACAACAACAAAATATTTTGTTAAAAGCAGCATGCATATCTTTTGTTAAAAGCTGCAACATATATATATTTTGGGTACTTGGTTGCTTCTTACTGAAAGCAAAGCAACATCATGCATATATATTGGCTATCTGGATAAACTGTTTCTTACTGAAACCAACTTGCATTTGTATATTTTGTGAAATTGGATATGTGTTTGTATTAATCTATATAACCTAACGACCGTGGTTGTGTTTTGAATCTATTTTTATGTTATTGGAAAATATTTTGAATTTGATATATGGAATTTATTATTTTTCTTTGTTATTTGCAAATTTGAGTGATTTTCAATAGGTATAAATATGAGAAAAATTCAACAAATAAATAAAGATTTGTCAAATTATTTTTTTCTTCCCTTTTCTTATCCGGTTCAGTACCCAACACAGTATAAATACTACGGTCATTAGTTTAAGCCTGCACCAAACGCCCGATTAATTTAGTCAGTACTTTTTGATGATTATTTATCTTATCCAACAGAAATAGTCAGTACAGTTCGAGCTGCCAAACGAGGCATAAAATACGAAACAGTAGCCTTTTTTTTTCTGCTATGTTTTTTTTTTCTTCTTATTTTTCTGTCGTTCATATTTGAATTTCGACCAAAAATATGATATTTGAATTTCTTGTACACCGGCAATCCGAAGAAGCCGCGTACAAGTTTAATATTATTTCTGGTATGGTAAATGTGTGCCAAAGTCAAGGGACGACGGAGTCTAACTCTAGAAGCTATGAAGCAAAGTCAAAGGGATGAAGGAGTCAATGAAAGGTATCACCAAAAAGAGAAAATATCAGAAGAGAGTTGTTATTTTTACCTCAATGTCTTATCTTGCCATTCATCTTTTTATGAATTTTTTAATTACAAATTTGTCTATTTGTAAAATGACTAATAAAGACCTTGGTTACCCGCTTTTGCATTACTTTCTTTTTTTATTTTTTTCTTTTTTTTTTATAAAAAAAACAAAAAAGAAAAGTTTGGGCTCTCATGCTATGTTTAGACGATTTGTCTCCCTTAAAGCCTAACTCATCATTCCCATCTCTTTTCATTCAGAGAAAGCAAAAAGAATGAACTTAGAAGATGACGTTTCTATAGAAGAAGTAGATGATTATATTACCGTCGAAGATGTAAAAGATTATTTCATATGGGTCATCTTGATTTGTCGACATTGTCGACATCATACAATTGAAGCATAGCTATGTGACCTTTTATTTGAATTTGCTTTAGTTTAGGGTGCAATTTGTTTCACGTTTTCCTATGAGAATTTCTGGAATTCGTTTTCATAAGGTTAGGTAATAATTCAAGTAAGGCATGTTTGTTGCAACTGACACTGATAATCGTCCAACTTGATGTGTTGTCTCCAAAACCTACACACAAATCCCCTTCTTAATTAGCACTATTTTCAACTTGATGTAATGCCCATTTATTTATATATGGTGGAATTCATTTGCAACAGGTAGATGAATCTGGTAATAATTCAGCATCTACACATATGGTGGATTGTACTAGTGAATTTACCACAAATAAGGTAATGTTGACTATGTAAATGATTTACTTATACTCTTGTATGTTTATTCATAATGTACAATTTTGGTATGTAGTTATTCAAGAGTAGTGAAGAATTAATACAATGGGCTCGAGAAGTTGGGAAGGTCATTGGTTTTGTTATTATGACTTTAAGATACGATCAAGGTGGAAAAGATAACAGGAGCCCTAGACTTACATTGGGTTGTGAAAGGAATGGACAATATGTAAGTCAAATTCACGAAAAAGACATAAAGGAAGAGGATAGAAGTAATTCTGAAATGAAAATATGTGGATGCCCGTTTCAATTGAAAGTTAAAAAGCTAGCAACTGATGATGATTGGATATTGACGGTAGTTATTGGAGTGCATAATCACACAACAGCAAGGCATTTGGAGGGTTATTCATTTGTTGGTAGATTATCATTTGAAGAGATTTCGTTATTGACTGATCTATCTAAAAGTTTGGTGCAACTAAAGGAGATTTTGACTGCACTAAAACGAAGAGACAAACGAAATATATCCACACTGAGGACAATTTATATTGCATGTCAACGTTTGAGACTACACTGATGATGTTCATGTGTACATAATCAAGCAAGTCTCTAAGCTTAAGTAAGTTCTTTTTATTTTCTTTTAGTGTGTTTCTAGTCTAAAATATGGAAACACAAATTATTATCTTACTAAATTGAAAATCATACCATGTTTAAGCACTTTGAATGTTTATCATACAAACAATTGAACATTAACCAGGGTACCTCTGAGTTCAGCTTTAATTGCCTTATACCTACATTGTGAGTGAACATGTCAAGTTCCATGTGAAAATTTTATGTCTAGTTGTTATACCTGCATTGGAGTTTGAATGCTTGTCATACGAACAATTGAACGTTAACCAGGTACATTTGAGTTCAGCCTTTATGGCCTTATACTTGCAATGCGGTGAGTGAACATGTCGAGTTCCATGTGAAAGGTTTTGTGTCTTGTTGTTATACATGTATTGGAGTTTGTCTTAAAAGCCAATTTCGTAATATTGGATATTAAGTAACAACTTCATATTAATTAATAAATAAATGCGCAAGATCTACTCATTCATGAGCTTGGCTTTATATTATTGTAATAATATGCTATGAATGAGTCCATGAGACTTAAGGTATGGAAACAATGTCCTAAATGAAGTTTAGGCATGGAGACTTGTTTTCCATAATCACTTAGCCTTTAAATAAAGTTCCTTACCATTTGGTAAGTCAACTGGACATCAACTATTTGGAAAAGTTGATGTATATCGTATTAAGGATAGCATTGGTCTCGTGCTACGCATGTTAGAAACGTGATGGGTATAAACGTTACAAAGCTTCTGGTTGTATTATGCAAATAGTTCTTAGACCTGAGGCATTAAGATATTTTATAGTTGTAGGTATGAACTTTGGTTACCTTAAGGCCTCAATGAGATCGCAAGGCTCGATAGTGTGATATTCAGTTCATTCATATGTATAAGTGTGAAGATCCATCGAAGCCACATTCTGGTAATTGTTCAACAAAATGAGATATCCCTCGAAGCCACTTAAAGATCCATCTCATAAATCTTTGACTGAAGCACTTGTTAATTAAGATATGTTTGTAAGAATTGCTTCAACATGTGATCGTAGATTACTACATGTGATTTGACACATATCCATGTCATTAAATCTTGATCGGGATATGGATGATATAAGAATCGACTTGCATTGTAACTAAAGTCAAGGTTTAGAAAAGTATCATGATTTGTTTGAGAATACTTCTACTAATCCAAGTAGCCATGCCATGATATTTAGTTCTCCCACACATTTTTGGTTTTCGGCCGTCGAATATGATGAATTGAAGAAGATCAACGGACAAAAATTAACAAGGGGTGTGTAAGAAGTAAAAAGTGGTGTGTGGATAGCACATCCCTAAATAAATTGGTTGATTAGTTTCACTGCCGACTTTAGTTAGAACCTAAGAGGTCATACACATATGTTAAGTTTTAGTAAAGTTATATATAGATGATGATAAGGTATAAATTATAAATTGTATTGGATTAATTATTTGAGAATATTGGACATGATTTCAGTTAAATAGGTTGTGGGCTTTGTTTAATTAAAAGGGGCCAAGCCACAAATTCAAAGTTGGTAAGTGGTGGGCTTGGAGCATGGCATAAAGCCTGAGGCATCGAACCCTAGGGGAGGTGCGGCATAAGGGTTCAACAAGGAGTCTAAAAACACTCCTTTTGTTTTCCTCATACATAAAATGCAAAAGTTGTTAGTTTTGTCCCTTGGGGAAAAGAGAGCAAAACCCTAAGCCAAAACACCTTGTATGCCACCCATTCTATATTGATCCAAGTGATATATATTGCTAGCACATCAAATTGATCACTGCATCATCCATTGCTAATTTTATCAGTGTGGATACACTTAGAGGCTCAACACTTAGGGAGTTTTGCGTGGTCAATCATGAAGAGGAAGATTGCAAGCATAAAGATGATCCAATCAAGCGGCATGCACGTGGCTAAAGATTCAAGTAAGCTAATATCGACGACTTCTTAATTTGTTGCTTTATCAATTACAACCAACCAGATATATAATTGGGATAAAAATTGTATGTTATTTGTTATTTTTCGCTCCGTATTAATTATTCAAATTAAATTTAATATGCCCGGAAACCTAATAGTGGTATCTGAGCTAGGTTGTAATCCATAATTGTATAATTTGTTTCATTGTTATGGTGAATTTAATTATTAGGGTTCATGTTGTTCTTAAATGGTCTTTTATAATATGAAAGGAGTGTTGATGCACAAAACCAGATGTCTTGAAACAACGTAAATCTGACCGTGAATCTGCAAAAAAGTAAAGAACATAAGATGTATCGTGGTTTACCCTAATGTTTGGGCTACGTCCACACTAATTATTGTATTTCTCTGAAATGTTGAAGAGGGAGAGAGGGAGAAAGAGCTTCCTTATGTGAGGATGAGCTTCTCTGAATCTGAGAGGGGATGTGAGGCCTCCCTAATTGTGAGGGTGAGGGGTCCTTTTATAGAATAAGGGCTCCTCACTTATTACATATTTTCCCCTTCCTTTATAACATAATTACATTTGAGTCCCCCGAGTATTTATACGAGATCTAAATACGGAGGCCCTGAGTATGGTACAAACAGTAGTCCCCCAAGTCTTCAGTCAAGAGAGTATTTTGGCTGGAGATTTGAAATTCAGTCCATGTGTGGGCCGAAGTAACTAGATGTCGTCTAGAACTGATACTCGATATGAGGCGGTGCTCAATCCGAAATGTTGCTGAACTAGAAGTAGCACATACTGCGAGGCTGCTTGGCTCGTGGCTAATGTTACCTTGGTTGGCTCGGCTTGTGGCGTTTGAAGGTGAGGAAGTCTCTTTTATAGAATAAGGGCTCGCTCCTCAATACATAAATGATGGGCTAGAGTTGATGCTCGCGGCGAGGTGGTTGCTCAATAGGCGGCGATGCTCTCTAATGGTGGTGAGGGAGTCCCTTTTATAAAATAAGGGCTCACTTCTCAGTACATGAATAATGGGTGCTCTCTAATGAAAGTGAGGAAGTCCCTTTTATAGAATAAGGGTTCGCTCCTTAATACATAAATAATGGGCTAAGTCTCCCAAGTATTTTTCATGAGGCCTAGTTAAGGCCCAATATATGGTACATAATGTAGTCCCCCAAGTCTTCGGT